GCCCTGCGCCAGCATGTGCGCTAGCGCGCCATCGTCTGGGCTGCTCAGCTCCTCGGCCAGGGCCCCTCTACAACGAACTCCAGCAAACCATCGACCTGAAGGCCTCGGGCGCGTCGACGCACGCCGAAGACGCCGCCGCGAGCCACGCGCGGCTCTTGTGGAGGGGCGCGGGCAAGCACCACGGCCCTGGGCACTTGGTTGGAGGAGGGGGGCGGCTGTCCAGCTTCAGGCGCATCCTGCACCGCAAGAGGGCGAGCAAGCATGCGGTCAAGCCGATGAGCTCGGCCAAGAATGCGCCGGCGGGCGGCCTCTGGCCCGCGGCGCGGCGCTTTGCGGCGGAACGCCCGTGGGCTTCGTCACCGCGGTGCCCCCGGGTGTGCCCAGCTCGCGGCGCGGTGCAATTTGGCGCGGCAGCGCCCCGCCGCGGCGCTCGATCGCGCCGAGTGGGAGGCGAATGACGACGCCATCGAGAGGCGACCACCCGAAGACATCCACTGCGGGGCCGTCGTCGACATGGCCAGCCTGGACGCGGCGGAGGACCCCCTCTGGTCGCGGGCGCTGGCAGGGCGCCCCCCCCTCAGCCCACGGTGGACAGGGCAGGGCAGCGCTCAAGGATGGGCGAGCCGCCCCGGCGGGGCAGCCACTCATGGGCGACCTGTTCACGGGCGGCAGCGTCGCGGACCTCGGCTTGGTCTCTGCGCGCGGCGGCCGGGCGGCGGTCATATGTGGGCAGAGAGCCGAGGCCGTCAGCCTCTTCGGCCCGCTGTCCTGGCCCTGCCCGCAGGAGTCGGGCGCGGCGGAGATCGTCGCGGTCATTGAGGGGCTCCAGAACTGCATGCCCCCAATCAGGATCTTCGCTGACTGCCAGCTGCTTGTGGATGGTTCGCAGCGGACAAGGCGCGGCGCCTGCAGTGGCAGCGGCCCCGCCGAGAGCTCCAGGCGCGCCCTCGGGCGGCGATCGAGGACGTCGGCAGCGACAACATCTTCATTCACCCAAGAAAAAGGCCCACGCGACGCTGGCGGACGCCCAGGCCGAGCGCATCGCAGGCTGGCAGCGCGGGGGCAACCGCAGCGCCGACGCCCGCGCGATCCAAGAGGCGCAACTGCATCCATCGGATGAGGGCGTCCACGTGCGCAGTTTGCGCCAGGGTCGCCTCGCCCAGAAGGTCGCCCGCCGGCTGGGCGCCGCAGCGCAGGAGGGCGGCGCGGAACGGGCGGCGGAGGACGGGCGCGGCGGGCCTGGCATGGCAGCTGCGAGGCGCGACTGGCGCGGATGCGAGCTGCGCTGGAGGAGCCACTGTTCGTCCCGAAACTGCTCGAGGAAGACGCGCGGTCGGCGCGGCGGGTGGCTCGAGGTCGGCAGCGACGCAGTATTGGCTTGCCAGGGGTGCGCAGGGCGTGGCGAAGCTATCTCTGGCTCGTGAACTTCGGGAGCCGAAGGTGCCTCGGGCTCGGTCGCAGCTGCCGCGGCGCTCTTCGCCGCAAGCGCAGCGCTGCTCTCCAGCCAGGACAGCGGGGCACAGGGTGCTGCCGTCGACGGCTTGGGACGAATTGCTGGCGCTGGGGGGGGGCGCAGCTGGCAGCGGCAGCGTGGCCTCGGCGCCTCGCGCGCAGTCGGGGGCGCAGCCGCCGCCGCGGCCGCCGCCCGAGCTGCCTCCACGGCGGGGGCTCGACGCGCGCGACACCCTCGAGCCGTGGCAAGACGCGCCCACCTTTTCTGCATCAAGTGCGGCTACTGGGCGCAGAGTCGCAGGTTGGCGGGCCCCGCGAAGGCGTGACCGAAAGCCCCCCAAAACGACTGGCAGATGGCGGTGCTCGGCCGCCGCAAGCGGGGTTTGCAGCCAGCGGGGCAGGGCAGCATAGGTGACCCTGAACCCCTGCGGCGCCTGCGCAGGCGCACGGACTGCTAAGTTTCACTATTTCGGGCACGAACCATGTGTGTAGGTTCGCTCGCGCACGGGATCTTGCACGAGACCGATGGCAATGCAACAGGCCAGGTGGGGCCATGACCCTATGGGGCACGTTGCGCTGGTCTGCCACGCGTGCGCACGGCCCTGTGCATGCGCGTCGGCTGGCGCAGTTCGCTGCGGAAACAAAACCAGGTGTGAAGGTTCGCCTTTACACGGGATCGGGCTCCGATACCAGTGGCAACGCAACCAATACAGCGAGGCCTGGGGCCTCATGGCAAGATGCGATGCTGCTGGTCAGGTGCTCGCAGTGGCATGGTTCTTTGCTCGGTGCCCTCCTCTTTTTCTGCAGCCTTGGCTGCCGAGCGCAGCGTCGTGTGTGGAGGCTGACCCAGGTGCGTAGGCTCGCCGACGCACGGGATCCGGCTCCAAGGCCAGCGGCAATGCAAATACGTCCAGCAAGGGCCAGGAACCAAAGAACACGTTGCGCTGCCGTAGGTCCTCTTTCTTCGGCGCGTGCTCTCTTGTTGCCCGCTTCGAAGCAAGCTTGGCTAGTGCATGGCCTGCCCGATGAGGGGAAGCTGAACCAAAGGTGTAGGTCCGCTTACACATGGGATCGGGCTCCGTTGCCTGCGGTACCTCAGCAATCTTGTTCAGGCCTATGGCCGATGGAAGTGTCGTGGTGCGGTCGGCGGGGTCACGGCGCGGTCCGACGAGTGCCCCTGTGCCCGCTCGCCCATCGGCCTGGCGCGGAGAGCCCTTCCCCTCCTTTGGCGGCACGTACGGTGCCTTGCTTTGTCGGAGCCGCTGGCTGCTCTCGGGCTCGCAGTCCGAGCACTGCCGCACATTGTCTTGGCATGGCCTCAGGCACTTGCGGTGGCGTCGCGGCTGTCATTGGCGCAAGGTTGACGCGTGTTGGCGTGGCGTGCCATCTGCTCGGCGCGGAGCTGATTCCATATCGCGGAGGCTGACCCGGGAGGGAAGGTCCGCCTTCACTCGGGCTCGGGCTCCGACCCCGTCGGCAGTGCAACCGGTCCTGGTGTGCTGGGCCTGCTGATGTGGTGCGCTGCTGTTGTAAAGGTGTCGTCGAGCGCTTTCCTCTCTCGGCGTGGGGAGAAGGAGGAGGAGGAGGAGGAATAAGAGGAGGAGGAGGAGGAGGAGGAGGAGGAGGAGGAGGTGGACGCTCCCGCTCACTGTAGTCACTGTCGCGGTTGCGCGGCAACTGCCCTGCCCGTCGCTCTGGCGTGGAGGGAGGCCCGAGAACGCAAGCCCGCCCACGCCCCGGCTCGACCTCCGCAGGCCCGAGGCGCGACCGTGTCGGTGAGGCCCGAAGCCAAGGGTCTGGCTGCTTGTCGGGTGCGGTGTGCATGAATGCTGCGTGCCAGCCCGCTGGATCGGCAGCCGTGTCTTTTGGCCAGCTGCCGTGCGTGCTGAGTCGCTTTGACTGCTGTGATCATTCAGCCGCTTGCCTCGGCTGAGGCGGATGATTGCTCTCGGCACTCAGGCGAATCCTCATCCTCATCCTCATCCTCATCCTCATCATCATAATCATCAGTATCATCGTTATCATCATCATCATCATCATCATCATCATCATCACAATCATACTCATAATAATCATCATCAGCTTCAGCATCATCAGCATCATCATCAGCAGCATCATCATCATTCCCATCATCATGAGCAGCAGCATCATCATCACCATCATCATCAGCAGCAGCATCAGCATCATCATCAGCAGCATCAGCATCATCACTATCAACAGCATCATCATCACCATCGTCATCATCAATAGCCAACGTGTCCATATTCCGTATCATTGTCCTGAAACTCCTCAGCATCAGCATCATGATCAGCATTAGCATCAGCATCAGCATCACCAGCATCAGCATTAGCATCATCAGCAGCATCATCATAAACATGCACAACAACAAACGTGCCCATATTCCGTATCAGTGTCCTCCTCCTCCTCCGCATCAACACCATAGCATATCATCACCAGAATCCTAGACATCATATTCATTATCACCATCGGCATCATCAACACCATCAGCATTGTCGTCATCATCATCATGATCATCATCATCATCATCATCATCATCATCATCATCATCGACATAATCCCCCGCCTCCAGCGTGTCCCTCCGCACCACCGTCGTGCTTGTCACCCCCATTGTCATCATCACACTGAGCATAAGCATAATCAGCAACAGCATCAGCATCATCAAAATCAACATCGTCATCCTCGTCATCACCGCCACCATCATCAGCAGCAGCATCATAAGCACCATTCAAAGCAGCAGGCACATCACCACCATCATCGTCAGCATCGTCGTCAGCATTACCATACTCATCATCATCAGCATCATCATCATCGTCGTCGTCTTCGTCGTCGTCGTCATCATTGTCAGCAGCATGATCATCATTATCAGCATCATCATCGTCGTCGTCACTATTCTGATCATCATCATCATTATCGGCAGCAGATCGCATCAACAACCGTCCTCACATCACCATCGCCAATCACATAGCATCACAGCCCTCATCATCTCACCCTCATCGCATTCCACATCATCCGCATTGCTCACATCATCTCGCATCATCATCCTCATCATCGTCGTCATAATCGCATTACCACCCCCCACATCATCTCATCGTGTCATCAAATCGTCCGCCTTCGTCTTCATCAACCTCATCCTCTGTCTATCTCTTCTCGAGCCTCCCGTGTTCTGTCCTCAAGCCGTGCGCGCCGTCAACCTCATCCATAGTTCTGCATCGTCCGGGTCCTCGCAATCAACATGGTGATCCTCCCCATCCTACTCCCCTCTCCTGCCACCATCGCTCAACCCCTCCTTATTCCCACAGGACCCTCCCTCATCTCACTCCTCCTCGTCTTTCTCCTAATCATCCGCATCCTGCTCACACTCATCTGCGCCATCCACATCCTCATCATCGTCGTCATAATTCGCATTACCACCCCCCACATCATCTTCATCGTGCTCATCTTGCCTCATGGAGCCTTCTGTTCTTCATCCAACCTCATCCTCCGCGTCCCAACCTCTTCTCGAGCCTCCCGTGTTCTGTCCCTCAAGCCTCCTGCGGCAGGCCGGAATGGATCGCGATGGAAGGGAAGTTGCACTCCACCAAAAGTTTATCCTCGCGCCCAGGCGGACGGAAACTTACGAACAACAAACATCGATGAAAGAGGAGGGAGGAGGATGAGCCATGGGGGGGGGCGGAGGGAGGTTGAAGGAGAGGGAAGGGGGGGGGCGAGGAGAAAAAAAGGTTGGGGAAGAGGGGGGGAGGGAGGACGAGGAGGAGGGAGGAGGAGGAGGGAAGAGGAGGAGGAGGGAGGAGGAGGAGGAGGAGGAGGAGGAGGAGGAGGAGGGAGGCGGAGAGGAGAAGGGGGGAGCGGAGAAGAGCTTGCCCCTGCCGAGAGTGGGACAGGCGCGGGGGAGGACGGGAGGTGGCGGGAGGGGCAAAGGGGGGGAGGGGGGGGGGGGAGGCGGGGGAGGGGGGGGGGGAGAGCGAAGAGGAGGTGCAGTGGGTGGAGGGCATGGGCGGGGGGGAAGGGCAGGAGACACGGGGACGGGGGGGGGGGGGGGGGGGGGGGGGGGAGCGGGCGACGGGCGAACGGAGGAGAGCGAGGCAGCTCGGGCGGGATGCCCAGCTGCGGCGCGAGGGCGACGGGCGCCCGCCGCGCCCACCGCTCCGCGGCGGGCGCCGCTTGGGAACAGGGGTGGGAAAACGACCCGCCTCCTCCCACTCCTCCTCCTCCTCCTCCCTCCTCCTCCTCCTCCCACTCCTCCTCCCTCCTCCCCTCCTCCTCCTCCCCCTCCTCCTCCTCCCCCTCCTCCTCCTCTTCTTCCTTCTCCTCCTCCTCCTCCTTCCACTCGTCCTCCCCCTCCTCCCAGATCAGACTGGAGAGGCAAGGAGGAAGCGGAACATGGGCTGGCGAGCCTGGGTTGATCAAAGTTTTCAGGCCCCCCGCCCCGACCCATCTAGAAAATAATACTGCCGCTTCTGTCCGGGCAGAAGGCACACCTGCACAAGACACACGAACGCGATTCATCGCAGGCCCACCCCATCACCAGGACGAGCAACAACAGGTGCAATTTGATGATGAGGCATTCCGCGACGCTGTCATGGACATGAAAGGGATCCAGTAGCATTGCGCCGCGGCCCTGTGGCACCTCTGGAATATGCTCCAAACGTGCTCGGATTCGGAGGCATTGCCTCTTGCTTCAATGCGCGCAAGTCGCATGGCCGCCTCCCACGCCGCCCCGGACAAGGGGCCTCTGCGTCCCCGAACGCCACGGCAATCGCGCGGCCTCCCGGAGCGACTTGGGACGGCCCGCCAGACGACGGAGCGGAACCCGTCCAAGACCGCCACGCCTGGACCAAACAAATTCCGGCGAAGACACCCCTCTAGAGAGAATGGAATCGATCGTCTAGGTGTTTTTTGGAAATAAGTCCCGCTCTTCGCGTTTAGCCTGTCACCTGTGCAAAAACACCCCCTTGTAGACCGCGTTCAGTTGAGTGTATGGGCGCCTTTGAAGTTAAGTGTCTGGGCGGCTGCCTACGCGCGTCGGAGTTCGACAAGCGCCGCCCTGGCCGACCCGCCGCGGGAGGGGCTCGTCGAGCAAGACTGGAGGGCAGCGCGACGCGCTGGAAGAACAGGTCACGACTGAATGCCTGGGCTTTTCCATCGAAAAGACAGAACAACTAGCACCTCGGCAGCCTTCCAGCCAGCTAGGGCGCACGCCATCAAAGCGCATTCGTCGGACACGCGGGAGACGCCACACCAACGTTCGCTGTGCCTCCGCATCCCCACCCATCCATGGCGTAGGTTCGACAAGCAGGCACAGAACTGCAACGAAAACCACGTTCGCGCCCGCCCCCTGATCTTCGATCGAACCGCCACAGGACGGGCGGAAAAGACCCTAATAAGGACCCCCCCCAGGAAAATCTAGAGCGGTAGGGGTGTGGGGCCTAAAAACTTTGATGATGGATGGATGGCAGCCACTGTGGGCGAGGAGCGGGCGCTGCGGGGGGGAAGCGGCCAGAGAGCAGCGGGAAGGCTGCAGGAAGAGGGAGCGGAGGCTGCAGAAAGCGGGGGGGCAGGAGGCTGCAGATAGGCGGGGAGGGCCAGCGGCTGCCGCCGCACAGGTGCTCCGCTCCATGCTCCGACCGCGCGCACCCCCCTTGCCCCCAGGGCAGGCCGAGTGGAGGTCCACCCCGTCGCGTCGAGTCCTCCTGTCTCATGCTGCAGCTCATCTCTCTCTCTTCCTGTTCCTGCCTCGGTTGCTCCATCCTGTCATGCTACTCCTGTTCCTGCTGCAGCTGATGCCCCTCCTCCTCCTCCTCCTCCTCGTCCTCCATTGTCTCCTCCTCGTCGTCCCCCACACTATCATTAGCATCATCATCATCAAAATCAGCATCACCAGCATCATCATCATCATCATCAGCATCATCATCATCATCAGCATCAGCATCAGCATCAGCATCAGCATCATCATCATCATCATCATCATCAGCATCATCAGCATCATCATCATCATCTTGATACTCATCGTCATTATTGAGTGGTTCATTCATGCATTCACCATTCAACATTCACCACCATTCACCGTTCAACATTCATCATCCACCATTCATCCGCACTATAAACATCGTCATAATCATCACACTCGTCGTCCTCAACATCATTATCATTCACCATTCAATATTCATCAGCATCGCCATTAGCATGGTCAACATGCGCATAAGCATCATCATCATCAGCAGCATCATCATCATGTTGATCAACATCATCACAAACATCATCATCATCAGCATCATCAGCCTCGTCCTCATCGACATCAGCATCATTCACCGTTCACCACTCATCGTCCATCATCATCACCATCATGTCCATCACCATTCACAATTCCCAACTCATCATTGTCATCATCAGCAACATCATCATCAGCAGCAGCATCATCACCAGCACCACCGTGATCATCAGCATCATCATGTTGGTTGGTTCAGTCATGGATCCGTTCATTTACCATCAAAAACCCTTCACCGTTCACTACTCGTCACTCGCCACTCATCAGTATCATCATCATCAACATCGTCGTCAGCATCATCATCCGTAGTATCATTCACCCTTCATAAATCATCATATTCATAGCATTACCAGTGTCATCATGATAATCAACACCAGCATCATCATGATAGCATCATCCACATCATCGGTGTCACCATCACCATTCAATACTCATCAGTCTAACCATCATCATGGTCACTATCAGCATCACCGACATCGCCCATGTGCCTGCTTCCCCATTTCAACATTCCTCATGACATTCATCATCATCTTCGTCATCATCAACAACATCATCAACATCACAATCACCATCAACATTATTCAGCATTCACCATCACCCATCATTAGCATCATTATCATCGACCTCATGATAGTATTCGACATCATCATCTTCGTCCACCGCAGAATTCGTATTGTCAATCGTCAACCTCCTCGTCTGATTGAGCTCGACCTGGAAATCATCAAATATAGAAAGACAAACCGAAATGTACGAAATTACTGGAAAAAACAAACCAGCAGAAAGACAGACAGACAGAAATAGAGAGAGAGAGAGAGAGTGCAATCGAAAGCGTGAGAGAGAGAGAGGGTGACCACACGCCTCGAGAAACAGGCTGTGAAGCGCTCTTGACCAGTGAAAACAACGTAAATCAGACCGTTGTCGTCGCACAATGCCAGATGGAATGTTGACACATAGACGCACGCATGAACACAGACTCAACACAACTCTCTGTTGCTACTTCTGAGACCCCCCCCCCCCGAGCCAACGCGATGGCGCGCTGCACTGACTTCACGAAGATAACGACCTCTGGCACTTAGCACTTCCTCTAAACACATGCGAAATAACCCTACAGACAAGATCAAGACGCGTAGACCTGGGAGCCAAGGAAAGGTGCCCGAGCCTCCCGTGCATGCAACCAGCGCGTACGCTTCGCAAACGTTAACTAGTGCTGCTATCGCATTAAGGATCTCGAGGCAACAACCTCGTCCACCACTGCGTGTTCCAACGGTTAACATGGAATCGGACTTCCTGTTTTTTGTTGCACTCCTGTGGGCCAACCGTGGTCGCAAAACTGTCGCACCAGGTGAACCGCTATCCGTCGACCTTGCGTTGCAACTGCCAGCCTGATCCTCCCTCGAATTACCGTTTCTCCATCAGCCTCTCCCACGCCTCCAGGTGGTAGTCCATCCGATCCCCCACGCCTCGTCGGCCGCTTTCGGGTAGCATAGGCTCGCGCCCAGCATACTGATTTTTCACGTATATCCTGCTGGGGTACTCTACTTGCCATGCGGAGTGCGCCCTCCTGTCTGGTTTTTCTACAGTCGGGGCCGATTGGAAAGGAGACGCGAGAGGACACAAGACCCTTCTGAGGGCCACATTGCCGCAGGAATGCAGAGGGCATGGGTCGCGAAACACAAGACACGACGGCACCTTTGATTTGGCAGGCTCGACCTGCTACAATCAAACCGATAGTAAGGATGCGCGGTGAGGATGCAGGCTCCCTGGACGCCCGTGTTGAAGTTTTCTCGAGCGCGGCGGGCCATCGAAAGTACTCATGGACGGACCAACGAGGCACGGATGCAAGGGTACCCTTAGGTCGGGCATGTCCCCCTCAGGCCGATTTTGGGCAACAACAATACATACCCCAAACATACTCCAAAAATGCAAACAAAAATTAAAACAAACATCGCCTCCATATTACGTTTTGACTCTTTTTGACCTTGGGAATGCTACCCACCCTTGCCATCGGCTTCGACTGAAGTCAACCTCGACCGTGGGCCGCACCACTTCGCGCCCCAATCCTACTTTTGAATAGCTTGATGATTGTTGACTACTGCTGGACTATTTTTGAATATCCCTCCTGTAGAGGGACAGGCCCGACTTGATGCTATGGCAGGTTCGTGTCGTGCCGACCCCAGCGTTGGTTTTTGACACCGCTGGGATCGTTCAACCTTGAACGATCGGCCGCTGCCGCAACGTCCAATCGTTCAACATCGATCGATTCTGGGTCGCCGGCGGCGTTCAACCTTGAACGCCCGCGCTGGGGTCGCCACTGGTCGACACGACGCAAACCTACCGTACCCACGCTTACCATCGGTTTCGACACACGTCAACCTCGACTGCAGGCCGCACCGCTGCGCGCCCCCGCGCTCCCACGGTGCCTGGCGGCACGCTTTAGGGGGGCAGGGGGAGGGAAGCAGGCTCCTTAGAAAAGGGGCCGCTTCGCAGACGGCGCCGGCCCCCCGTGCATAGAGACGGCCGCCCCCTCTGAGAAGCAGAAGTGCTTCTATCTAAGGAGCCCTCCGAGAAGGCCCGCCCCCACTATGAGAAGCAGAAGTGCCTTGAAGAAGCCTCCCCCCCTCCCCCTAACCCCCCTCCTTGCCGTCGCTCGGACGTCCACTGCCCGTGCATGTTTCGGTTTCGCGGGTGTGTTTGTTGGCTCGATGGTCCAGGATCGTCCTCAGTGGTTCTCGCCGAGAAAACATGCACACGTCCGAGCGATGCGAGGCCTAGAAGAGGCCTCGAAGAGGCCTCCCCCCCTCCCCCTGGCCTCCCCCCCCCTGCGCGTGGCCGAGGCGCGCCCCCGCGCCCCCCGAGGCCGCTCGGGCCGCTCCCCCGCTGGAGACCACGGCCGCCGCCCTCGGGCCGCTCCCCGCTGGACTCCGGCGAGGCCTGCCGTTTGGGCTGCGAGCTCGCGGGGCACGTGGCTCTCCCCGGGCGCGTGGCTGCGCCACACGTCCACGCGTGGGGAGGAGGAGGAGGACGAGAAAGAGGAGGAGGAGGAGGAGGAGGAGGAGGAGGAAGAGAAGGAGGAGGAGGAGGAGGAGGAGGAGGAGGAGGAGGAGAGGAGGAGAAGGAGGAGGAGAAAGGAGGAGGAGAGAGGAGGCGGCCGCCCTCGCGCCCTCGGGGCCGCTCCCCGCTGGACGGGGGCCGCCGCTCCGCCCCAGGCCGCGGGGCGCGAGGGCGCGAGGAGCCCTTGTGGCCCCTGTGGGCGGCGCGGCCTGCGCCGGCGGTGCGCACACGGGGGGGGCAGGCTTCTCAGGAGGGGAGGGGGGGGGGCAGGCTTCTCAGGAGGAGGGGAGGAGGGGCAGGCTTCTTAGAAGGAAGGGGGGGGGAGGGGAGGGGGGCGGGCGTCTTAGGAGGACAGGAGGGGGACAGGCGCGCACAAGGGGGGGGGGCGGGCTTCGTGAGGAGGAGGCAGTTTCTCAGAAGGCGCCGGCCCTACAGTGATAGACAAGGCTCGCGCCTTCTAAGGAGCAGGGGCGCTTTTCAGAAGCCCTCTCCACTCCCCCTGCCCCCCTCTGCGCGTGGCTTGCCTATGTCCCCCCGCAGAGACTTCGTCAGTGTTGTGCGAAGTTTGCTTCTCAGCCAATGCACCACGAAACTCTAAGGGTGGTGAAAGCCCGGACACATGTTTGAGACGAGTATGTGCGTATTTATGTTAGTACGTTCCCAACCCGATGGCCAGAACCTGCAGCTCAGAACGGAAACCTGCCGATGAGCCGAGACGAAAGACACCGAGGCCAACCGCAGGGCCCCAGGGAAAAACACACACACACGCGCACACACACAAACACACACACACACACGCACACACAACCACACATACAAACACACATACACACCAACCGACAAGCACACACACCGACCGACACACACACACACACACATAACACACACACACACGCACAGCACACACAACACACAACACACACAACACACACAACACACACACACAACACACACACAACACACACAACACACACAACACACACACAAGCATACAACACACGACACACACACACACAACACACACAACACACACAACACACACACACAACACACAACGCAACTGGGGCCTTTGCGTGGAGCTCCTCATGGGGCAACGAAGCGCTGTACTGGGTGTGACGGACGCATGTGGCCACCACCACTGGGGCCTTACGAGGAGCTCCCTATGGCCCCACGAAGCGGTGTACTGGGTGTGACGGACGCATGTGGCCACCCCGACTGGGGCCTTACGCGGAGCTCCCTATGGGGCCACGAAGCGCTGTACTGGGTGTGGCGGACGCATGTGGCCACCCCCACTGGGGCCTTACGCGGAGCTCCCTACGGGGACGCCCGCCTCAAGAGGATCAGCCGCAAGAAGAATATCCCGAGGGCGGAATGCAGCGCCTTGTTGGCTACGCGGAAGCTGGATTGGCTCGTCGGCCACGAAACGCTGTACTGGGTGTGGCGGACGCATGTGGCCACCCCCGCTGGGTCCTTGCGTGGATCTCCCTATAGGACCACGAAGCGCTGTACTGGGTGTGGCGGACGCATGTGGCCACCCCCAATGGGGCATTGCGTGGACCTCCTCATGGGGCCACGAAGCGCTGTGATGGGTGTGGCGGACACTTGTGGTCACCCCCACAGGGGCCTTGCGTGGAGCTCCCTATGGGGCCACGAAGCGCTGTACTAGGTGTGGCGGACGCACGTGGCCACTCACACTGGGGCCTTGGGTGGAGCTCCCTATGGGGCCACGAAGCGCTGTACTGGGTGTGACGGACGCATGTGGCCACCCCACTGGGGCCGCAGGTGGAGCTCCCTATGGGACCACGAAGCGCTGTACTGGGTAGGTGAGACGCATGGAGGAGGGAGGGGGGGAGGGGGAGGAGGGAGGAGGGGGAGGAGAGGAGAGGAGAGGAGAGGAGGGACGCGGGGACCGTCTCTTCAAAATGAAGACCCAACACCACAGGATGGTTGGGAACAGTGCAGAGCGCACGTTGCGACAACGTCGTGGGTACTGTGCTGGCCGCCCGCGACCACTTTGTATCGGTATCGTTGCTGTTGATAGGGACGGCGGTGGCGCCCGCAGGCCCAGAACAATGCTGACGCCCCCCCACATCAGCGTCTGGAGCCTGCGGACGGGGGGGCATCACGTGGAGCCCGCGGCGAGCGTCGCGCACCTGGCGTCCGCTTTGGTTCCCAGCGGCTGTCTATCCAGCGGCGACCCCTGGCTATGCCGAGACTCGGATGCCGCTTATGTGGTGGGAGGGCGGGTGGGAATGAGCTAGACGGCTTGCGTGCGGAGAGGGTGTCTTGACCCCTCCCCCTACCCCCTCCCCTTGACCTGGGAGGGGGGGCGGACGGAGGGGTTAGAGCGTGCAAAATGGCCCAAGATGGCCCCAAGAGGGTCCCAGAGAGCCCACGATGGCCTCTAAGAATGCTCAAGGTACCTCAAGATTGCTCAAGGAAGCCTCCGACAAATTCCAAGAGGCCTCAAGACGGCCCCAAGAGTGCCTCGCTACGCCATTGTGAGCCTCCCAGGGGGACCTGAATATATTACCCATCCCCCCGTCTTTTTGAGCCATGGGGGCCACGATGGCCCAGAGAGGCCTCTCAGATCCCGCGAACGAGCCCCACGAGGGCCCCAAGAAGGCCCCAAGAGAGCCCCAAGAGGGCCTCAAGATGGCTCCAAAAGACCTCGAGAAAACGTTTCCAAAGCGGTTGTTAAACTGCACTCTTCGACACGTCCCCGATCACGGCAACTCGCCGGTCGATCTGCTTCTGGATGGGCTGGTGGGGATACTTTTCGTCGCAGCCGCAGGCGAAGGCGCACAGCGGCGTCACAAGTCAGCGCTGGTGGGGATACGCAAAGCGCGAGAATTTTTGCACTGACTGACATTTTAGCATTGGATTTAGATTGTCACCGTCCTTCCTCAACACTAATCCCACCAGCCCTGTAGGGCGCGAGTGGTTTAGCGAGTTTCCTCTTCCAACCCCTCTTATTCCCCTTTGGGGAAGGGGCGCACCCCTCCCCCTATCCCTCCCCTTGGGTCTGGACGGGGGCGGTCGCGAAGTGTCAGAGGGTTGGTTGGGTCTCGGCGAGAAGGCCAAATCATTGATGTTACTGAGGTGTTGGCCACATGTGTGCCTCCTGGGGGCGGGGACCTTAAGAAGCCCCCCTCCCCTGATCGAGTCCTTCCAAGATGGCCCCCCAGGCTCCCAAAGGTGCCCCAAGACGGCCCCAAGAGGTGCCCAGGAGCCAGGAGCCCTCTAGAGGCCCCCAAGAGGCCTCCACGATGCCCCCAAAACGCTCCCAAGAGGCCCCCAACAGTTGCCAAGAGGCCATCCAGAGGCACCCAAGACGCCCCAAGAGGCCCCAGGTACTGCCAAGAGTCCCCCAAGACGCCCCAAGAGACCTCACAGAGGCCTCTGGCCTTTGTGATCACCCTCCTCCTGCCTCATCCTTCTCCTCCTCCTCCTCCTCCTCCTCCTCCTCCTCCTCTTCCTCCTGCTCGTCATCCGCCTAGTCCTCCTCCTTCCGCCTCCCTCATCCCCCTCCCCGTCGCCCTGCTCCTTTTCCTCATCATCCCGCTCCGCTCCGCTCCTCCTCCGATCCCTCCTCGGATTCCTCCTCCATCCTCCCCCTCTTGGGGTATGACGTCCTACCCAGTCCTTTCTTCCACTGCATGCCCATCCACATCCCTGATCAGGGCAACTCATGTGGGCATCGTGTCTGGATGGGCTGGTGGAGTCACGCAAAGCGTCTAGGCTTGCTGATAACGATCCTCGTTGTACGTGCGGCTGGTTCGGTCGAACCAAATTCCTATATCGCCATATGTTGGGTCTCATGCTCAGCGCGAACAGCACAGCGAGGCACGTACATAATGGCAAGCAATGGTAGTGGATGCACGTCAAGTGTTTAGTTGGAAAAAGCGCGAATCCATACCAAAGCTCCTGTCTGTCGTGTGACTGGCTGCGGCCGGCAAAGGATGATGAATTGTAGTGGATGGCCGAAGGGAAGAGCCAACACGCAAACATGACAACACAGTTGGGGACTTCCTGTATGGCTGACTCGTCGCATACCGTAATGCCACCCTGGCATGGTGGCGGAATTTGCCGCACGCACCTGGATATGCTTGCAACGAACTTCAATGTCCATGTACGAGGCGTGGGTAATCCCGAATGGGCTTCACGCGACAACGCCAAAAACTTGTCTTACCCAGATGGTTAAGGAGAAGCTATTGGTGATGCGCAGGGGCGCGAGGAGTCAGATCAATGAGGGTGAGAAGAGAAGTACCATGGACGAAGGAGGTACACGAGGAAGGAGGAGAGGACGAATTATTGATGACTGAGAGAAACATATGCGGCATATGCGTTGCACTAAGGTGAAACAAGAGGCGATGTGCAGAGCCCAGCGCCGTGACGCAAAAGAGGCCAATGGGGTACAGCAGCCGTAGCCATGGCACCAATGGGCGCACAGACAACGATGAACAGACTAAGTCCAGCCCCTCCTGCCTGACCCTTGCCACCCCTTGGGCCTGGTTAAACTCAAGAGCGTCTAGCAGATCATTTAGCTTGCGATTCTTTTCTTTCTCGGCGAGCTTGACGTAATACTGCAGGAGCCCTCCGCGCCATCTCTCAACTTCGGTCTGTGCGTACGAGGACTCGCTCAGCGAGTGAGCTGCTCGCCCAGCTTACCTCTGGCTGCCTTTCCATCGAAAGCTTACTCAAAGCAACATTGCGTTTCCCCACCGAACTCGCACAACGTCTAAGCAAGAAACTTGCTCCCGCCGACACACAGCTGGCGCAACACCTGACACCGTCGTCGACAAAAACGGTGCACAACATTCAAGGCGCATGTGCCGCCACCCCTGCTTTCGCTCGTCGCTGTTACGGGCATGCCGTCCTGCCGCCCGTGCACCACATCCCCTCCGTGAAGAGTGAGCTTGGACTCCTCGTCAACGCGAATCTCGTGAGGGTCCTGCGCAATCAGATGGGCCCCGGCCGTGCGACCGGCGGAAACAGACACGAAAGGGGGGGTGTGCGCGAAGCTGGAGGGAAACTTGCACCCAGAATCGGAAGGAGGACAAAAAGGCGGCCACGATAATCAACAACTGCCTGCTATACATCGTCTCATCCGCATCCTCACCCAACCTCCACATCCTCACTACCGATCAGCTCCAGCCGGTGCACCTCCCGAGACTCCCTGCACTCTCTAGTTACAATGTCCTCAGGTCCTGCATGAATTTCTTGCAGAGCCCCCTAGTCTCAGTTGTCATCGTGGCACTGAACATCATGACCTGGTATGGGTGCTGACTTCAAAAAGCAGGTGGGACGAACAAAACGCATTGAATCAGGCAAGGAGTATGGAATAGGATGGGAAGGGGGAAGAGGCACGTTGTAGGATATACGGCTGGATCTGATACAGATTGCGAAGAGGGGACCGAGCAAAACGGTGAGGGGGGCATGAGGAAAGGTAAACGTCGTAGCCTTCACGGAAAGACAAACGATGTTAGGATCAGTAGTCAGTGGGACCATCAGTCCGAGGAGGGGTAGGAGGGAAAGGCGGCAGAAAAAGAGATAGAGAGAGAGAGAGACGGAGAGACACGTGTCACTTTGCACGCACAGGCATATATACATACACATATATATATACACATATACCCACATACAGATGCTACCAGAGAAAAAAAACAATCATAATATGTTTACAGCTGTAGGGGTTTAGGGCTATAGGGCTATGGGCTCTAGGTCTATATGGGCGATTGGGCTATTAGGCTATTGGGCTAGAAGGCTATAGAGCTATAGGGCTGTAGAGCTATAGGGATAGGGCTATAGGGCTGTAGGGCTATCGGGCCTTAGGGCTATAGGGCTATAGAGCTATAGGGCTATAGGGCTATAGGGCTATAGGGCTATAAGGCTCTAGGGCTATATCGCTGTAGGGCTACAGGGCGATAGAGCACCCGGGAACACCCGGGCACCTTCGGGCGCCCCAGGGCACCTCTGGGCACCCCTGGGCACCTCCGAGCACCTCCGGCAGCTCTGGGCACCCCTGGGCATCCGGGCCCGCCGCCGAAATCGGCGGCACACCTCACCTAACCATACGAATCCGCTAGGACTCCTACAGAGGCAAGCTCTGATTGGGGAACATACATAATCCATCGCGCGCGCTTCGCGCGCGCACAGGTTCTAGGGAAGGCCGGCGGGTCGCTGGAAGAGCTTGGACAGCGCTACCATGCACAAGCGCGTGCCCTAGTCGTATCCATCCTCACCCTCATCCTCATTCCCGTCCTCCGACTCGACCTCTTCCTTCGAATCATCGTCATCTTGATTATCATCATGATCTGGAAAATCATCATCAGCAACAAAAGAAACAGCAACAGAAACAGCAACAACGACATCTGGGAGGGTACGTCACGCCACAATTTCGTTACGTCAAATTCGCGTCTCATCATCAATATCAGCAGCAGCATCACCACCATCGTCAACATCAGCATCAGCATCATCAGTAGCATCCTCCTCCTACTTTCCTCCTCATCACCATCATCGTCATCACCATCATCATCGTCGTCGTCATCGTCGTCATCATCATCATCATCATCAGCATCAGCATCAGCATCAGCATCATCATCAGCAGCAGCATCAGCATCATCATCATCACCCCCCACAATCGCAATCATCAGCAGCAGAACCATCATCGTCACAACCACCTTCACCAGCACCAGCATCATCATCATAATAAGCATCAACATCATAATCATCGTCGTCCGTCTTCATGTTTATGGTCGTCACTGGCATGATCATCTTCATCATCAGCATCAGCATCATCGTCATTATCATTATCAGTGTCAGAATCACTCATCACACTAAGCATCAGAGTCATCATCATAATCAACTTCATCGTCGCCTTAATTGTCGTCATCAGGATCGGCATCACGTCATCACAACCAGCATCACCATCATCATCATCATCCTCATCGTCATCATCCTCATCATCATCAGCATCGACATCATCATTACCATCATCAGCACAATCGTCATCATCATCAAAATCAGAATCGCTTGCAGCCGTATCATCCGAAGCGCCATCGTCATCGCAACCACTACCACCATCGATCGTCAAGGTCACCAGCATCATCATCATCAGCAGCAACATCATATTCATCAACGGCATCATCATCAATATCATAATCAGCATCAGCATCACCATCATCACCATCATCAGCATCAGCATGGCCATCATAATTAACATCAGCAGAATCAGCAGCATTATCCTCATCCACATCCCCATTATCATCCTCATCATCAGTACCATCATCAGCATCATCAGCAGCAGCACCATCATCATCTTCATCATCGTCATCATCATCATCAGACTCGTCATCATAATCAGCATCATCAGCACCAGCATCAACATCACCATCATCATCATCGTCATCGTCTTCATCATCATCATCATCACCACCATCATCAACCCCCACAATCGCAATCATCATCAACATCATCATGCAGAACATCCTCGACAAAGAACAGATAACCGTCATGCTGACAATTATCATTCCCGTCGTGGTGCCGTCGGTGAGATGTTCACAGGAGAGGCCTCTCTAGAAACATCAGGCTGGCGTTGCGCCACGGGGAGCACCTCGGACGTGTAGGATTAGGTCGGGCATGTCCCCCTACAGGGGGATTTGGACGAACAATTAAAAATATTCAGAACTGTTTTGGACAAGTACTCAAAAGATCGTCCACATATTATGTTTAAACTGTTTTTGAATATTCCTCCTGTAGGGGGACAGACCCGACTTGAGTGTAGGGGGCTCGGACCGACCCACAGGGGACTGACCCACAGGAGTGCAGGATGTTGGCCTCCCAAGGGCCTCTTGAAGCACCGTGGGAGACTCTTGGGGGCCTCTTGGGGGCCGTCTTTGGGGGATAGCAAAGGGTAGGGTAGAGAATCAGCTCACGCAGCTGATTTTCCCAGCGCCTCCCGGCGCTGGGAGGCGCCCGTGTATCAAGGAATGGGCCCAGCGGCGGGGCCGAAACCAGCTGCATGCCGCAGACTTCGTAACCCCGCCTTTCCCTATCCACCCCTTTCTGTTCGGCCCGAGTCATGGGACCATCTTGAACTGCCTGGGGCCGTCGCAAGGCTATCTGGGGCCGTCTCGGCGGGCTCGAGGGCCGTCTGGACGGGGTCAGGAGCCACGCGAGGTGGACCACCTTAGGCCGTCCCTGCGCCAGCATGGAGGGCTGGGAGGGCCCCAGCCGACCGTCAGTAGGCCATCGTGACGTGTCTTGGGGGCCCAAGACACCCGTCTTGGTCCTCCCTGAGGCTCCCCGAAGGCATTTTTTCATTCTGGGACCTCCGAGACCCCTCGGAAGCGAAAGGATGTTGAAGAGCCGATGGCTTCCTTGGGTGTTTCCAAGATGGTGGCCTCCTGGGGGCCTCTTGGAGGTTTCTTGGGGGCCTCTCAAGGCCGTCTTGAGGTCAATTGAGCTGTCTGGGGGTCGCCTGAGGCCGTCTTGGGGACAGTCTGGAGGAACTGTGAGGCGCCTATCTTAGAGGATACCCGCTCACATCACTGAGAAACAAGGAGGAGCAAATAAAGGGTAGACAAGCACAAGGCGCATGATGAAGAAAAGCGAAAGGCGTGCAATGTAGGAGTGGACGAGGCGGGAAATCTGCACTTGGATCGACAGGGGCGAAACATGTAAACACGATCACTGTGGAGTGTGATGGCGCACAAGACGGATGCAATGGCTGCAGACGCAAGGGAAACGAGCACCTGCTTCTTCTTAGGCGTCTCCACAAAAATCTGCTGGATGTCCTGCCGGTGCCGGCTGCGTCTGCTGCAGAACTGAGCTGTTGCTGCTTCCTTTTTTCCTGGCACAAGAGACGCGTTCTCTGGGGGAAGCAAGACAATGCCGATACCGCTACTCCCAAGCGTCTCCCGGGCTGCGCGTTCCGACCAGGATTTCGAGGCGAATCCAGCCGTGGCGACGAGGGCCTCCCAGGAGGCCAACGAAGGACAAGAATGTAACAAGAACGGCTCCTCCGAGCTCATGCCCACCCTCCCCCCCTTGGAAGGCGATCTCTCTTGAGCCGGACGGGGTCGAGAGCCACGCGAGGTGGCCGAGGTGCACGAAAGGCGCAGGTCCGAGCCAGATCGGGCGCAGCAGTACTCGACCATCCCACGCGGCTCCACGACGGCCGAGCCCCAGGAACGGGTCCACGGCACTCCGCGGGACTTCCGCGGGCAGCCAGAGGGCCCCGGGGACGTCCGACGAGAAGCTGGTCGCGAGCCCTGGACACAAGAAATACCGCAATATGGCTTTATCTCCCCATTCTGCGGCAAATCACTGGGAGCCTCCCATGCCATCAGGCTACATTGGCGCTAATCGACGCCAAATCTGACATTTCGAATCGACAACCAAGCGCTCGCGCACGCGAGTGCAGTCCAAAACCCTAATAATAAGGAGGTAAGGACGCAAGACCCTTGGAAGCCGAAGTTGGGATTTTTGGGGCGTCGGACGACAAAAACCCCAAGGACGCAAGAGCAAGGAAGAGCAAGTACGCAAGGGTACCCTGAGCAAAGCCGCGCGTTCTTATTAGGGTTTTTGACTGTACGCTCTAGAAACGAAACCTCGAGGACATACAAGGCTCCCCCTGGTGTGCTGCCGAAGGAGAGGGGGAGAAGACACAAATCGACCGTTGGCAGGACTGGAATTGATATAAGTCGGGCCTGTCCCCCTACAGGGAGAGTTTGGACGACAAATGAAGAAACAGTCTAACAATGCCCTAAAATACTCAAAATTTGTCAGAACATCGTCCCCATACTGTTTGTTTACTATGTTTGAATATTCCTCCTGTAGAGAGACAGGCCCAACTTAAGGTTTGATGGGACCTGGTTTGGTGATGTCTACCCAACGGACGCCCCCTGCCCCGCTCCACCAACCAGAAGTGTGGTCGCCCGAAGAATCACAAGCCACGGCAAACGTGGACTACTGATTCCCATCCAGCTTGGTGCAATCACTGACTGGCTCCCCTTACCCCAGGCCCTGGCTACATCAGAAGAGAGGGTCTTGGAGGGTGATGGCTGGCGTCGCAGGACCACGATGTCGGACCAGCGAATAGCGTCTTGGTGCGGGGCGTATCGCAGCGCAGGGCTGGAAGGAGGAGGGTGTTGAAGCCAGGTCCAAGACCCCCTTCGTGGGCCATTTCTCATGACCACCACTGTAGACCATGGGCAGCTAACCTATGGTACTGGTTGGCTCGGCGCGGCCGGTGCCTCGCACAGCAAGCCGCTGCACTAGGTCAGCCGCCCCTGATCTACAGCGGTGGCAGTGGAAATGGTAGGCCCACAACCCCTGGAGTTCCCTCGAATATCCCTGGGAGCGAAGGGTGTGAACAAGCTACTCTCTCCAGGGGCGGGCAAATATCTTTATCCACCACTCCTCCGGTCCGGGTCCTGGGCACCAGGCGCTGCCCCAGAACAATGGATGTGCGGAAGAGGCGCGGGGGAGGCACCCCCCCGCGGAACTGTTTCACCGACGGGCGTGAAGATGCCGATCTCCTTCGAGGGCTGGCCAAAGGCCAAAGGCATTCCCTCTTGGCACCGTGAAGCGCTAGAGGATGTGTACAGCTGCCCTCCTCCCTACGAGGGCCGAGCGGGGCAGCCACGTCCTTCCGCATGTCCAGCTTCTCCAAGCACTTGTCGCACTCGTCCAAGACCTGCCGCGCCAACCGTGGCTGCGAGCAGGTGACAAGCGGAACCAGCCACTCGAGCCCAAGAGTTGCTAACAAGCTTCCTGGCTCTGGTGCAGGGCGCCCACGCCTGCGCCTGCTACCGCACAAACATCTGTAGCAACAAAACAATCAAACAATCACGCACGAAACGAAGACAAAACAAACTGCCCTGCCAAAGAAGGTGGGGAGGAAGTCTGAGGAAGGGGAAAGCGGGGAGACCAGGGATCGGATCGCATGAGTCGTCCTACGCAGCAGTGCAGGGTTGGAACTGGTGGGCCCCCGACGCGTTCAGTAGCAAGTAGAAGCAGCGCCGATACAGAAGGTAGACGAGCAGCGGAGGGCGAGCTTCGGTCAGTTGGGAAGGAAGCCCTGCAAACAAAGCCTCGAAACTGCACCTGACAACGATGCCCAGATCGACACCACTGGCCCGTGGCCATCGGCGTCGCACTTGACACATACCCCCGCCAGAGCAGGCGTGACGTGAACAACCAAACGCATGAAGCAACGGAGCTCGGCCTACCCTGGGCAGAGAAAGCGAACGCGCGGCGGAGGATAGAGCTGAACCGTCCACGATTCGAAGACCTGCAGAAGCAGAGAAGACACAGTAATGAGGATAGCAGAGTCGACACGACTGAGTTCGTCGAAGTGCAATCAGGTGATGAGGAAAGCCGGCGATGCGGGCAACTTCAAGGGCATCACAGAGTAAGAGAAAGCGCAGACACAAACGTATAGTGCGGAGGGTGGGGGGGCGACAAATTGCGTGAGCTTGTCAAGCTTGAGGTCCTGGGCCACCCTCGCCCACTGCACAACCGGCATGGTCCCCTCTTCCTCTTCCTCCACCTTCTCCTCCTCCTAACCCTTCTCCACAAGCAGCGCACCATGTTCACAAGCCACATCATTTCGAACGCGTCATATCTGCTCACAGGTCCGCCCGGCCCACACGTCCAATTTTCTCGCACCCCCCCCCCCACTGCGCTGCTGCAGCAGAAGGAAATTGGGCCGGGGGCGCTCGGAGCGCGCGTATTTCACTGAGGACATCATTCAGACATGCACAATACCGTATGAAGAGTGCCGTCTGGCCAGTATTTGGCAACCAAGACCTAGAATGGAGCATGCCACACGCCCCACGCAACGTGCAGAAGAAGGGAGAGGAGGCAATGGGGATGTGGAGGCGCGGACGCGAGAATGAATTATTCACTGCGTGGAGCTCCCCATATGTGCATCTATTCGCATGGACCTGTCCACCATGAATGTCTAGGCGCAAGAGCTTTCGAATATAAACGGGTTTCAGTTGTGACGGTCTGGTCATGAATCTAACTGAGAATGAATTGGAATGTGAATGAGCCTCAGTAGTACGAGCGCGTCTCTGCGCATGAGCCTGGGACCTCCTGGGGCCTGCTGGGGCCTCCTGAAACCCACTGAGGCGTCCGGGGGCCTCCAGGAGCCTCTTGGGGCCTCCTGAGGGGTCCTGGGACCTCCTAGGGAGGATTCGTGCCCCAGGAGAGGCCCAATCTATAGCAACAGACGTACATAAGACATTGCGGATTGGAGCCGCAGGAGACGGGGGCAATCTGTAGGCACACACGTAAAACACAAAGGACTCGTGCCCCAGGAGAGGCCCTATAGGAACATAAGTACACAGGAGAAACACACTATATTGAAACATACGTATAACATCAAGGATTCGTGCTACAGGTAAGGCCCAATCTATAGGTGCATACGTAAACCACATGGGATTGGAGCCACTCCCGTTGCCTTCTGAGGCCTCCTGCTCCTGGGGCCTCTCGGGGTCTCCTGTTGCCTTCCGAAACCTCCTGGCGCTTTCTCTGGCCTCCTGGGGCCTCCTGTGGCTTCCTGAGGCCTCCCGGAGTTTCCTGGGGCCTCCTAAAGCCTCTTGGGACATCTTGTGGCCTCTTGAATCTTTCTGTGGCCGCCTGATGCATCCTGGGACCTCATGTGGTCTCCTGGAGCCTCCTGGAGCCTGTTGGAGCCTCCTGTGGCATCCTGAAGAGAATCTGCGCCACCGATCGGAACATCCTCAAAATCTGGCCCACCTGGGGGGGCCCAAGAGCGGACGTGGCGCTCCTGGCACCAGTTGGGCCAGGCCTCCTCGCCGAGCTCGTGCCTCCCCCCAACGCGCCGGCCCGGCGGAGCCCCCGCCTCTCACGAAGCACATCGGCCAACTGACGCAAGTTGTCCAGCTCGTCATCCGTCATGAAGGACTCGCGGTCGCGATCCAGAGTCTCGAGGGGCTCCACGATGGCGCCGCGGGCGCCCCCCAAAGAATCGAAACCTTCGTTCTGCTGGAAACGCTCGGCCACGCCCAGTGGATGCCCCCCGTTGCCCGAGCGCGCCCGCAGGTACTCGAGCGCCAACGCAACCCTCCCACGCCGGCGCCAACGCTCTCGGGCAGCGCCGCCCAAGAGAGACCTCCCAGCTCCTCCCTGGATAGCGCATCTCGCCAGGGAAACTGCGGGGGGTAGGCGGGGGTAGGCATGCGCGGGACCTCTCGGGGCGCTCCCCCCACCTGGTCGCCAGACCTCTCCTCAACTCCTCGCTGGATGGTGCACAGCGGGCGCTCCTCTCGGCCGGCCACGCCGTTGGCCAAGGCGACGGCCGCCGGGCTGGCCTTCTTGCCGCGCTCGCCCATCCCGCCCTGGACCTGCGTACTCGTCTTCAGCATGAGAGCAAGAGCTCCCGCGGCCATGGCCTGTTCGCGCGCGCGATCATCCACCACTGGTCCGAGATTGGACGGGGCCGTCACTAAGGTCGAGGCAAGGTATACTGTAGGTGACCCACTCCGCCTCCGCCTGGACCTGCTGGCACCTGTAGAAGTAGCACTTGTCCGCAGTCTCCGCGCCCCGGGGCCCGCGCACCATAGCCGCGAGCCATGCGCCGCTGGGGTTGGCGAGCCTGTCCGACGCGCGTGCCGCCGATGAAGGTGGAGATCGTGACCTGGAAGCCCTTGGGCGCTCTGGCGCCAGCCCTGCCACCGCCGCCGCGGGTCCTTCCGGTCGGTCCGCGCGCGGCGCCAAACGCCGGGTCACCGACAAGTCGTGCCCGAGGCAAATCAGG